TTGTGAGAGAGCGACAGAGCCTCAAGGTAACCACAGCTGTCACCAGAGTCATCAAGAAGGTCAAGCAGGAAGCAATCCAAAATCTTAAGATCTCCTAATCTGGCCCTCCCGTAAAGTGCGAAGAGGAATGCACCTATGCAGAAGCGGTCTATGGCAGAGATGGTCGGGTCCACGAGAGCCGCCTCCAAAGCCAGCACCTCGAGAACAAGAAGGGGGCGGGCTTGATGCTTCTCCGGCCGCTCAAGCCTGGCTTTCCGCAAGATGCCTTGCACAATTGGAGTCTTACAAGCACCTGGGTCCATGTCCACCCCCAACACGTGGTGGAGGAAGGCAAAGCACTCTATGGCCCCAGTCAGCACGGAGTGCTTGCATGTGGTTTCACACAGGAAGCGAAGGTACTCCTCAACAATCTGAGCATCAATGGGAAAACCCTTTAAGGATTCCGAGTTGGCCCACTTGAGGAGCTTAGCCGCCTGGCCAAAACGTTTCTGCAAGGTACGGGGCGCCTTGCCACCTAGAGCAAGACGAACTTTGTGCTGCCTCCTCTCAAGGATATCATCTTTGAAGCCTCGTCCAAGAATGGAAGCCTCATAAGCATGGGCCAACACCAATTCGAACCTCTGCACATGAAGCTCAAAGATGTCGTCGTCGCTCAGTCGGGATCTTCGATTCACTGCACGCACTGCAAACTTCAAGAAGATTTGCTCGCAACTCGCCGCACTAGGATGCGACGGAAGCAGAGAGGCAGGCTCATCAGCAGGAAGTGCGCTGCTCTCCTGAAGGGACTCCCTAGCCTCAGCATGCCTCGGAATGCTAGGAACAGCGCTGCTTGATGAGTCTCCGAAGATGTCTGCAAAGACCCCTTGCTCCCAGGGCAGGCACAGCGTGCTCGCATGAGAATTTTCTAGCACTGAGTCAAGAGTGGCCCCTGGCAGCTTCGACACTGCATCACCTGCTGAGTTGCAACGGGACATGCTCCCAAACGTCCGCCTCCCACAAGAGACGCGCCAGCTGAAGGAAGCAGATGCACAGCACAGAGACGACTTGGCAGATAAAGTCGAGACGCACTTCAAGACTGCGTAGGGAAGCTGATTGGTTCTCAAGATGCAATTCAAGGCTGTCCTCAATGCTCTCAAGTCTGGAGTTGAATTTAGCACTGTACGGGCAACCTCTGCCCGAATCTCAGGGAAATCGGCCGCTCGAACTTGCAGCCCTCCGATGCGGATGAAAGCAATGTCTAGCCTACCCCTGAGCTCGTGCAGCCACAATCTATATGCAGCGAGTAGCTCTTGCAGTCTTCCGAACAAGCTAAGCAAGGCCAGGAGGTCCTGCTGCCCTGTCCGC